TTTATGTAGGCCAGTTTGAAATGAGCTTTTTTGGACCCTTGTTCACTAGCTGTGGTTTCCATTTTATTATTAACCACCAACTGCCGGAGCTGACTTCAATTGGTTTCATTTGTTTTAAATAATTAGTGTTTAATAATGTATTAAGCATTACAGAGATATTCATAGACAACCCAAGTTTCAATTAGCTATCACTTCAAATTACAGGCTTCCAGTAATTAGCTTCTGCCACATAACCCATAATGAAACAAACCTAAGTTACAAGAAAGTGGGAGCAAAGCTATAGAGTCTGTTTGATGTGAGTAGACTTCAGAATTAACCAATCTGAGTACCTTTCAATACATTTCTCTACAGGAATTGAGGAGTTGTCTGGTTAACCTCTCTGAGTCTCATTTAAGGAGATAATGGAGATAGCATCTGCCTCATAGGGATCACAAGGGCTGAATAACTAAATTAGTCTGACTCTCCTCTCCATCTATACTCAAAGGACCTCAAGCACCCCTAGCTCCCATGATGCCCTTGTGTTCCCTGCAGCTCTCACTGTGCCAGAGCCACTCAATTTCCTCTGCTCCTCTCCCTCTAACCGTGGCTCACATTTTGTCCCTTTTTTTCCCTAAAGCACAGTACTGCTGAAGCCTTGGTTTCAGAATCTCTAGTAAAAATAGCCTTCAGCTTCTCCTTCAATTGCTAGATGCAGATGAGACAGGTCCCTGTACTCTCGCCTCCGCACCAAGAAAAAAGAAAAACGTTTTCCTTTTGCTTTCTAGTAAACTAAGACACCCATAGAAATGTATTAACCAAAAAAATGGTTCCTAAGAAACATCTTTTCACAGTTTCTCGGACACAATCTCATCCTAAACCCCAGTTTAGTTCTGCTTAGGGGCTGACTAAGGAGCCTTGGTGGTGCAATGATTAAGTGCTGGGCTGCTAACCAAAAGGGCAGTTCGAACGCCCCAGCAGCTCTGCAGGAGAAAAGACCTGGTGATTTGCTCCTGTAAAGATTACAACCTAAGAGACTCCATGGGGCAGTTCTACTCTGTCATATGTGTTGCTTTGAGATGGAATGAACTCAATGGCACACAACAACGGAAGCCGGCTAAAGTATGTGAGAAAACCGAGTCTCGTAGGGGCCTATGTTAGTTTCCTTGTGCTGCTTTAACAAAAATACCAAAGTATTTTGTAGCTTTAAAGAACAGAAAGCTATTTTCTCACAGTTAAGGAGGCTAAAAGTGCAAATCAGGTTGTGTGGATTCCTTCCTTGTCAGTAGCCTTGGACATTCCTTGGCTCCTTGGCTTGTAAATAATCACTTGGTGTCTGTCTTCCTCAGTTTTTGTTCCCTTCTGTGTCTAATCTGTTATTTTTATAACTCAGAATTGATTAGGTGCAAGACATACTCTACACTGATATGGCTCATTAACATAACAAAGAAAACCCTATTCCCAAATGGGATCAGATCCATAGGTATAAGGGTTAGGATTCCAACACATATTTTGAGGGGACACAATTTAATCCGTAACAGAGTCTGATGTCTGAGTCTTAACTAACCAAAAAACCAAACCCATTGCTGTTGAGTTAATTCCTACTCATAGCGACCTTATAGGACAGAGTAGAACTGCCCCATGGGGTTTCCAAGCAGTGACTGTTGGACTCAAACTGCTGAACTTTTGGTTAGCAGCCGAACGCTTAACCATTCTGCCATGGTAGATAGTAGATAATGATGCTGGGATCTGATCCTGCTTTGTCTGATCCTAGGCAGGTCTGCTTTCTACCACTTGAAATCTGCCTCTATTGCTTGAGATCTGACACTCACCCTCCCCGCATGGCACTATCTGCCCGGTTAACTCACGATCTTTCAGTGGTGTTCAAGATGTACAAAGGGCTTTCCTGTCTACCCTGAGGACAAGTATACAGTTCCCCAACTCCCAAACAAGAAACTGGGAGATGTTGTTTGTCATGGTGTCACTACATTAAAAAGATGGCAGAAGGCATGACTTTGACGAAACAGTTGAGACAATATTTTCAAAAAAAGGGTCCTTATTTGCCACAAAATTATGACAAACTATTTCTTGCCCTGGTGGTGCAGTGGTTAAGCCCTCGGCTGCTAATCGAAAGTTTGGCAATTTGAACACAGTAGCCACTCCGAGGGAGAAAAATGTGGCAGTCTGCTTCCATAAAAATTTGTTGTTGTTGTTAGGTGTCATCGAGTCGGTTCCGACTCATAGTGACCCTATATACAACAGAACAAAACACTGCCCAGTCCTGCGCCATTCTCACAATCGTTGTTATGCTTGAGCCCATATTGTTGCAGCCACTGTGGCAATCCATTTCATTGAGGGTCTTCAGAAGTAGACTGCCAGATCCTTCTTCCTAGTCTGTCTTAGTCTAGAAGCTCTGCTGAATCCTCTCCACCAAGGGTGACCATGCTGGTATTTGAAATACCAGTGGCAAATCTTCCAGTATCACAGCAACACACAAGCCACCGCAGTATGACAAACTGACAGACATGTAGTGGCATAAAGATTTACAGCCTTGGAAAACCTATGGGGCGGTTTTATTCTGTCCTATAGAGTCACTATGAGATGAAATCAACTTGAAGGGAATGGATACTTCTTGCTTGAATACAAATCTTCCTCTCTACCCCCAAACATTTATTTCCATTCTGAACTCATAGGCTGTTTCTAATTTCCAACAAAGTTTGCTTTATTTTAAAATATCTTTAATCCTGAAACTGATGATATATATTTTCAATGTTAGATACTGGATGTTGTGAGATCATCTTTGGACAGCTGAAAACTTTCATGTTTCAAGAGCAACTACTAAAAATCAGAAGGGTCTTGTCCTATTGTAATAACAACATAATAAAGTATGAAATGAATCTAAGAAATTGAACAGAATAGTTCTTGAATTTCCTGCTCAAAAATTGAGTTGAATGAATGAAAAAATGAGTGTACAAATAAATGAATGATGTTATTTCAAAAGGCGCTTTTACATTTAGAGACTGTAAAAACAACTTGGGAGTGATGTCTAACCTCTTCCCTCTTCACAAGGGGGAAGGAGAATCAAGATCAACAGCCCAAGACTGAGTCCTGTGAGGCCAAGTTCAGACATGCCTCCTCTCTCTGCCATCTTTATCAATTCTGACACCAACTGTACCTCCCACAGCACTCTCTACTTCTCTGCTGGGTTCAATAATTCATTGCAATGGCCACACAGGACTCATAGACAATACTCAGGATTATAAGGTTTATTAGGGAAGTAACAGTTACAATTCAGGCTCAGGAACACTCAAGGGTACAGTTCTTTTATTAGGACAGCCTCTTCCCAGCCGTGCTCACAGGCACGCCTCTCCCTGGCCCTAGGCCTCTGCCCAAAGGCACTTAGCTTTCTCTCTATGTGGGCCAGGAAGCCCACTGCACCATCTCCTGCTTCTGGGTCTGTGCTGTCAGGTCTCTGCTGCCAGGCCTCTCCTGCTGCCGCTTTTCACATCTTCAGGGTTACAGCTCACTCTCTCTCCATCTCTGCTTGCAGGAGCTTCTCAGCACAGGGATCCTGGGTCCAAAAGGCGTGCTGGTTCCTGGTTGTTCTTGGTGGTGGTGGGATCTTCTCTTTCCTGCCTTTGGGGTCACTCATTTCTGGCCCAGCAAGATGTCAAAATTGACCAATTCCTTTGGTAGGCTACAATTACCCTATCTGCACAGTCCTGCCCAATCACCCGGGTGGGAGTTACAAGACCATGGCTAGAAAGGCCACATAAAAGTGATCCATCACACCCCAGAGCATAAATCTAAATAGAGTCTAAGGGTTACAAAAGTTTAGAACACATTGGCATATTTTTTTTGTGATACATTTTCTTTCAAAGTAGAAAGTTGGGTTTTTAATTTAATCTCTACATTCACTTCCAAAATTCATGTATTCACATACATATGTGAATATTCTTAGGACTTACGATACAAGCATCTCTGTAACTACTATAAATGCTGTAATGTGGACTGTATTTACAAATTTCATGCAATCATTTCTTGATCTCTGGGATCAAGTTAAACGGTTGCATGGGGATTTGTCCACATCTGGAAAACTACTTCCAGTTCTGTACTAATGGCAAATATTTACTTTGGTAAAATAGGCAACAGTGAAAGTCAGAATGTACTGACATCCAGCATAAAATGACTCTGGAATTCACTATGACTGCAGGCTTAGACAGACATAAATTGTACCTATATTTTTCTAAACATTCATTTGTGTGATATTTTAGAATTCCCAGTAGCCCATGTAATTATCTACTAAATCATTCAGTCGCCTACTTAGGTGGTAGACAACTGTGGATGGCATATTTCTGGAACAAAGAGTGGTAAGAAACAAATGACTTAAGAGTTTTCTTTTTTTTCCCTCAGCGTCTGACACTGCTGGTTAATAGAACTGCTCAATGAATGTAATGTAATCGGTTCTTGATAGTGCCTGTGGCAAGGAGGTAAGGGCTTTTCTTCTTAGTTATGAGCATCATTCCACTGACCTTAGTTTTAACAGGTTCTCTCTCTACCTAAGAAGTAATGACCAAATGTTTCAATGAGGTCCAGTGTCCAGCTTTTTGGATTTACGTTCTAACTCTACCTTTTATGCACTGAACGACTTGGGCAGTCAACATAATCTCTCTGTGCCTCTGTTTCCTCATCTGAAAATAGAAATGACAATAAAACTGATGTGAACATTGCAAGAGGTGATTTAGCCATTCATTCAACAAATGTTTATTGAGTGCCTGCTGCCTAGCAGGCACCATTCCAGGTGTTAGCAACATGGTGATGAACACGACAGAGAAGTGCCTGTGCTCACAGAGCTTACGTTCTTGTGTGAAGAAACAGATGTCAGTGCACTTGGTAGAATGGCTGGCACCCAATAAATAGTATTTTCTACATGTAGTTACTGAGCACCCTTTGGGGCCTTATGGGTTGAAAATGGTGATCTGGAGCAAATGTTCTCTTGAATATTTACTTTCTCCTCTTTGTGCTTTTCTGTGTTTTCCAACACATTTACAATAAACACGTATTACTTAAGTAATAAATTAATAACAGCAACAAAAGAGCAATGACATAATTTGACAAACATCAAAAAGTGCTTTCAGGGTGTCTAATAGAGAGAATTGTGATTCAGGTAATGATTCAGTAAACACTAATTGCCCATGCTACTTTCAGCCAAGGAGGCACATTTTCAAGTATTAGCACAGTGGACCATTCATTCTCAGCTATTTCAGCATCTCTCATCCTTGGGCCTGGTCTCCGTCCTGAATCTCCTCCTTTGTGGGTGGGTAAGACCTTTATTTTTGTTTTCAAACCCTCATTTAACTTTAAAAATTCCAATTTTTTTCATCCTATACAATCAGAAAATCCCAAGCCTCTCACTGACAATCGCCCTATTCATAGTGAGTTTCAAATATTTCTTGGTTTTCCATGTAAATTGTCTTCTGTTTTTAGCATGAATGCTTTTTAGTATTTCTATATTCCTCAGCTCTGCATGCTAAATGTTATACTTAATTTCCTCCTTTCATGATCAGAGCATCACCAAATCCCAATGCCTGTTTTCAAGGACATCGCTTGGCCAAACCTAGATTAGTGCCGCTTCTAGAATCCTGGCAAGTCTTTTTCCCTCCATAAATCCCCATCCAAATTCCAATATTATTGTATTATTCTCATCTACTTTATTGGTTTTCTTTGATTTTCTTCCATTTCTTTTGCTAGATACTTTTTTCTTTTTACTTATTATATTAATTTTAAATTCCAAAATATTCTATTTGCCTTAAATATCCATATACAGAATGAAAGTATTTAGTAATTTACCTCATATTTTAAGGAGACTTAAAGTTAAAATTCAAAATATTATAACATATTAAGCAATGAAAATATTACTTATAAGAAAGCCTATGTAGCATAGATATTCCCAAATTTGGTTTTAAGATGTTATACTTCCCTTTAGTGCTAAAATGATACTCCCAAGACCACATTGTTACTAAACCAAAAAAAAAAAAATTAAGAATTTTAGAGGTCTTCTTTCCTGAAATATTTCTGGCACATTCTCTAAAGGAATGCTTCCCTATTCCATAAATCCATCTTGCATGTCACTTTGACCTCAGCCAGTCCTCTGGTACCAGGTGTATGACTGGAGACCCCATTCCACCATTTTGTACCTGGTTTCCTAAGACTGATACTGCTCTCTCTACCTTTCTGCCCTATCCTAGCAAAGGCATGGTCCCTCTCTTAATTCTGAAAGCACAACTAAGACATTACTCAATATTTAACAAAATATTCAGAAGACTTGAGAAACAGTAGAGAATTATAACACAGCTAAGCAGCACTTTAAAAAGGTGCAAACTATTGGACAACTTCCAGGGTTTACAGGCCCCTCCACAAATCTGTACTGGGGAGTTCTCTTGATTTCAGCACATCTCCCACCATGTTGCTGGAACTAGCTTACCTCCCCACCACAAGAAGGACTTTCAGCCAATTTTCCGCTCTCGGAATCAAGACTCCCAGAAAAAATAAACAGAAATGCTCTTAAAGAAAAAAGTTTAATCTCAAAGATACAGAATTTCATACGAGGAGAGAACATTTACTTTCTAATGCAAAGAAGCTCAGCTCTTTCTTTTACTGTTTCCAAAGTTGGAGTTGAGCTTATAGCTGTGTAACTTACAGGTCCGTTAGAATGACTATTTCAAAAACAAAGGGTAAAAAAAAAGCTTCTGTGAAAGATGAAGGAAAACTTCTATTTCGAGAAACAAAATTTGCTGGCAGTTTTAACATAGTAGTCTCCCTTCCCTTCCTTCCTCTCCCACACCTCCCGTGATGGCCATAAAGTTCCAAGCACACTGAAGTTCAGTCTCAGGGAAACTTGCTATACACGCATATAACTTGACCCCTACTCTATTCTTTGCCCCTAATTATAAAACAAGCATTGAAAACAGAACTTGATTGTGATCTCATGCTGAGCAAGATCATGTTTTATTTTGGAAACTGAAGCCAGAGAACACAGCCTCAGGACTCACCAGTCTGCTGTGTGGCCATATTTATGCATTGCTGAGGCAGAAAAATGGCTGGTTGCAACAATTACATGTTTAATATTTAGCAGTTGTGAGAAAGAACCTGAAGCTATAACCTCATAAAAGGCACACAGAAAACCCCATGAAAAAAACCCAAGAGAACCAGTTTGGAGGCTTCCAGACTGTAATGTAGCATACCCATCCTACAATTGATATGAACTGGGTTTCTTTCATAATTTTCCTGAAGAAATGCACCTACGAACATTTTATCAGTCAGGAATCCAGCAGGAGACAGATGATATCATCAAATTGGATAAATCAAAGAGAGTTTAATAAAGGGACTATTTACAAAAGTGTGGCAGCTTAAGGAAATCACAAGGAATAATGCAGTACCCCAGGGCCAGTAATAGTAAAGAGCTCTTACCACCCTAGACCAAAGGGACAAGGTGAGAGAATAGCACTGGAACCAGGAGGCGGACAGAACTATGTGGAGATGGCTGCCTGGTAGGAGTTAATAGATCACTATGTGAATTTTGGCATATAATTCAGAAAGAGCAAAAATAATTAGTAGCATTACAATAAAGTTATCATTTCCATTTACTTATTTATGTGAACACTTTTTCTCTGTGCTTGAATCTATAAAAAGAAAATAAGAATAGAATTGATGCTAACCCATGTCATATTCTAATTTTAATATTCACCCATGAGAACATAAATTAGGAACAACAGCCCTAACCATCCCATTGAGATACATTTCTAATAACATTTTACAATTTTAATAATTTTCTTTCAAATTTTGTAATATATTTACAATGTTTTGATCAGTTGTATATTAGGCAGATTATAATGATAACTCAATCCCGGAGATGATTTTTAATTTTTATAGCTTTATGTTCACAAGAAAAAAAAGGTTTTAATTTTCAAATACAAATTTTGATGTATATATGTTTTATAGCTTAATCAATAGAAGACTTATAAGCATATAAATGCATAAATTTGGATAAAATTCTATAACGGCAACTGAAATGAGAAAAACAAGTCCAAAGATAAGAAAGGAAAAATGTAAATTCTGACTGTTAAAAAAGACTATTTTTCTTCAAGTATTTTCTAAAAGGCTGATGGTGGTTATCAAACCACTATGGTATTTAGATTCAATATGTTCACTGAACATATCTAACAGAGTAGCGTTAATTTTTTTATTTCAGAATGTCAATATTTAAAATGTGTCACAAATAATATTCTTTGCAATTACTTAAATTTATGATGAGAAATTCTATTTAACAACTTAAAATATGAGGAGTCCATAATTTTTCAAATTCATTTTAGAGCAAACACTATCAAAATTCATTTGAGACTACTGCCTTAAGGTCGTAAACTTTCAGTCTTTGGCAGAGATCATTTGATTGAGTCAAACAGAACTCTGAATTAAATTCCATTGAAAATCCAGGCTTTGCTTATTCTGTAAACACCTCAACAAAACCCATCATTGTTCTATTTTGGCATTTGCTCTTTCTTATCCAGCTGGGATCCAAACATACAGAAATGAGTAATAATGGGAAAAGATTATACAATCTTGAATGACTCATTCAAGGACCTTTATAAAATTTCTGTTTAGACTTTGTTTTAGAATCACTTGGGTGAATTCCAGTTTGTTTAGCAAATGAAAGTTGTAGCACGGTAAAAAGAAGGATGCACATACGTCAATGCTAACCCATCACTGTGGGCCTTTTTCTTCAAAAACCATGTAACTGCACTTGTAATGTTAGAGAATGTAAAAGGATACACATTGAAAAATGTTAAAGTCATCACTGAGTCTTTAGATTCTTTATAATAGCATCTTTTGCCTTTAGAATATGTCTTCTCTTGTAAATTGTTTTCTTGGGACACCATCATGCAGAGGTCATGCACAAAATCAACTCTGAATCTTTTTTCAATCCATTTCTTCTCTCAGTTCATTTCCAAACTTCAGAAGTTTATTGCACATGATGTATATTTCTGGACAAATACACACATACAAGTTGCCGTTGAGTGGATTTCAACTCATGGCAACCCCATGTGTGTCAGAGTAGAACTGTGCTCCATAGGGTTTTCAGTGGCTGATAGTCAGAAGCAGATTGCCAGACTTTCCTTCCAAGGTGCCTCTGTATGGACTCGAACCTCTAACCTGCGGTTAGCAGCCAAGTATGTTAACCGTTTGCACCACGCAGCGACTCTCTCTGGAAAAACAGCCCATTGCTAATCTAGTTCTTATTCCTTGCACTATATTGAAAATTCATTTAAGATCAACAAAAGTCTACTTACTATCACATTAAAATGATGTATCCATCCCTATACAATCTATCTTACCTCTTTTTCAGCTCAGCTACCGTAGAAAACCCCATCTTCTTCAATAGCTCCCTATGACAGGGGCACATTCTTCTCTTTGACATGCCACCTGGCCTTTAGAAATGGATGGAAAATCATCTCTTGCTGACTTTGAGTGGTGCAAGCGTCCTTAAATTTTTTATTCTGTCCCACTACTCTGGGTCATGAAACCTCCCAAAGATTCCATCATTAGCACCTGACTCAATAAATATTTGATGGATTTATAAACATCTATTAAGGGTGTAAATGCGTGTAAGTAATACAAATTCTTGTATACCCCTTGGGTCATTTCCATTTAAAGCTCTGTGTAAAAGATATGACAGACTGCACACTAAAAGGCAGATCAGGAAGGAAAAGAATCTCTTCTGCATCTATTGTTGTCCAATTTCCCGTACGTTTTTTACATTCTGAGGAAAAAACCTTAAAATAATCTTCAACTTACCTTTGTCCTTATGATATCTTCTACACAACTGCAGAACATAATGGGTTTGTTTTTCCAGATTAGCAATAAAGCTATTGAAGAGGATGGTCTCTAAGATAATTCCTGTGGGATGCACCCAGCATAAAAACTTTATGTGGGAAGAGACCTGCCTGGCTCATTCATTGCTGAATCTCAGTGCCTGGCACACAGATGAGTACTTAATAAACAGTGAATGAATGAGAAATGAAGGAATGGATGGATATCTGGATAGATGGGAACTTGATGTTTTTTACATCTTCTAGTAATTCTTTAGGTATGATCTAGACAGTTGACTTAAACTCCTAAATGTATAAAAATCAAGAACATAATATTTTATATATTTTTTGAGAATATTACGCAGGCTCTGGGGTCAGATTACCTCTGTCCACCACACAGTGGCTATGTGGCTTTGGACAAATGACTTGAGTCCTCTTTGCCTGATCCCTCTCTGGCAGACAGTTACAACACCTTTTTCGTAGGCTTGTAAGATAATGCACATAATGCATAGGAAGCATTCTGTAAATGTGAGCTACCACTTTATGTATGTTTATTTCACATTTAAGATTAATGCATAGGTATGGAGATGAAAACATTATCAGAATTACTGCCTCAATTTTTCACTCCTCATTTCAGGTACAGATATAATCATCTCTCTGCTAACATAAAATCATTTCGTCCAAGCCAGCAATTTGTTCTCTGCGATACAACTAGAATGTAGACATGTTGTTGCACATTCATATTTTAAAGTTGTAAATAACCAGACCAGTCATAGTATAGTAAAAGAAGGATTTTAGGTTTCTTTGGTGAAAACAAAAGGCAGATATAAAAGTTACAAAGATTTTAGATTTTCATTCACAAAAAAAAAAAAAAACCACAGTCATTCACATTTCACACTATACAAGTTATAATATAAATACAGGAAAGTATTATGTGCATTGTAATGGAAGAGGAAAAAAATTAAAACCTATTAGGTTGACACAGTGTTGTTCTGCGCTCTAGAACACTTAAAGGTGGGATTACATATGATGCAGCAACCAAGCAAACTTGCGTAAAGACACTGCGTATGATTGTAGCTACTGTTGTTCCTTCTAAGCTAAAGGAGGTTTCATGAAGAAGAATCAATACTGAGCCCAACGCCTTTGCTCTTTTTCTGTTTTATGTATTGTTACCCTTCTCAAGGTCGCTCCAACTTAAATTAGGGAAAGATTCCTAAATGCCTTCTTTCCATTACAGATTTTTCTTTAAACATTAATTTAACTGCATAATGATTCAAAGTCATCTTCAGCAGTTACTTTATTCAAATAAAGGGGAGAAATGGAGTGGGAAGAAATAGGGAGAACGTTCAACACACACTCCACCTAATGGAAAGAAATGTCAATACTATCTCTAGATACACGGTCCTTGCTTAGACTGGGCAAACACCATTTGCTGAAAGCTATACACTTCTCCACTCTTTTTGTAAGAAACACTTGATGCGTTCTATCCATCACATTATTCAATCAGGGACAAAGTACCTATATTATATGGTTCTAAACCATGTGAGGGAAGTATAAAAGCTAACACTGAAAAATAACTAGCATACTATGTCAATTGTCAGGTCTTGGAGAAAATAACATCCAATAAATTAAATCAGTATGGCTTACTTCATTTATTTATGTATGCTTCACAGCTGCAGCATTCATACATAAACATTCAAAACTTTATAAAAGATTAAAATGGTTATATATACAAAATTTCTTTGTTTGCATGTGTTGTTGTTTTAACAATCCCCCACCCTCCAGCGCCCTAGGTCTCTATCCAGTTGAAATGCATTGATCTGTAACATTGCGAGTTAGTGTTGTGAAAGCCATTAAAAAGTAGACCTGGCTGAGTTAATAATTAGCACTTTGACCCCTAAAAAAAATGCTCTTGGCCAAAGAAAAGTCCTCCATTCAGGCCTTTCTTGTAAGTGAAGAAAAAGGAATGCAGCAAAAAAGAGTTCCATATTGCAGTCCCTAGTTCCATCAGGAGCCCATTAGCCACATTGCATGGAAGCAAACCGCACCTTTCGCTGCGATGGGTGCAGTGACCTACAAGACTGCATGTCTGTTAGTTGTCCAGGAAAAGCTGTCCTCAGTCTTGTTGAAATATAAAGGGCAAGTGAAACGATTTCCAGCCTAAACAAACTACATAAAAGCAGCCGAACCAATGATTAAAAACCTCTAAGGCTCCATAATCATCATTAAATATGCCTGACCTCAGTGTGACTTTTTATTTTATATACAGGATTAAAATCAACATTAAATCATCTTATTTACATTACCATTGGTGCTGAAATTGAGCTTTTTAAATAGTACAGTAGGCTGGTATACATTATAAAATGGTCTGCACCGGAGGCAAATAGAAAACTAAAGAAATTAGATAGGCTGGAAATGGTTATTTTCTGCCCTCATTTTCTTTCATTTTGTTTGCTTTCTTGTTGAATGCCAATACGTTCATTTAAAATGTTTGGGAAGCACGGCAACCCTAAACGATTGGATGGTGGTCCAAGAACTCCAGACAACTGCTAATACTTCTCGAGGTGATAGGAAAGGCACAGGAAGTTAGGACTTTGGCTGAAATGATGAAAACATATGTTCGCCATTTTAGGGATCAGCGCCTCGACTCCTGCCACCTTCGACTCCAACGATGATCGTGTTTTGATGAATTTATTGAATTGTCCTTTGCTGATGAGGAATTTTTAAAGTATTTCTTAGAATAAGTCCTTTGGTATGCAGATGCTACATGGAAGGAAAGAAAGAAAGAAAGAAAACACAACAGTATTACTTGCTCCATACCCTAAACTACCAATACCATAGCCGTAAAATGAGGGTGGCTAGTAGTTGTTATAGCACGGTTGTCCATTCTTTCTAAAGTACCACTTACGGTTCATGCAGGTAATTTTAGGCAGAGCCCATCTTCCATTTCCTAGGCACCGGATGGTTGGAAGGTGGCGCTGAATGAAACCATCTTTGCAGTGATATCTAATCAGGGAGTTGATTTCATAACGAGGTTTCATCTTTCCAAAGGTCTTGGCATTTTCTACAACAGGGGGCTGGCCGCAAGCAACTAAAGAAAAGCAAATTGGTTATTTCCAAATAATCTAAATATTTCAATTAGCGTTAGTTTCTTTCTTTTTTTTCTTATGGCACCAAACCAAGCACCTCCATCAAAGGCAATCATTTAGAATTAAGAAACGGGAATTTTTGAAGAGAAAAATTAAATGTTGAAGCTCTGTGGCTAGTTTGAATACTAGGTGGTGTCATCTTAAATTGTGTTTTATTAAAGGGCCATAAGTTTGAATGGTCATACATTTGTCTGTCCATCTGTCAGGGCAATTTTTTGAGAAAAAAAAAAAAAAAATCTAAATTAAAAAGCACCTGTCTTGTGCCAGTGTGTGGTCCTTTGCTATTGTCTTCATCACCATTCCAAAGTATTTATTTATCACTCTCCTTTACTTGGGACAAAAATGGATTTGTAACAATTGACTATTTCAGTTGTTTCTCTGAAAAAACTTACAATATATAAAAAGATGATAGTTTCAAAATATGGATATACACTCTTATGTATAAATAAAATTCCTCTGGTTTTATGTTTATTTGCTCTTTTCTGCCTTCTATATAGAGACAAGGAGAAAGAGAGGACATAGTATTCATGCCTCAGTTTTATAATCCCCTTATAAATAAACATCCCAACTCTTGAGAAGGGTATAGCTCAGAATATTTAGTCATCACTTTAAATTTACAATGAAAAATTCTAACTATCAACAAAATTAGCATGAGTAAAAATAATAAAAAGAAATAAAAGTAAAAGAAACCCTGCTAATTTGAAACTCAAGAAACCGCCAACATTGATTCAATGCAATTTGTGTTTATCTATAGTTTTATTCAATATTGTGCACTTAACTAACGAATAGAAGTTTCTGTAATAATGTACTTTTTAAAAAAATTAACTTTTATTAAATGATTGGGTTTTACATTGTCTTCTTAGGTTTTCTTCTAATAAAAATGTAATTTATCTTGAATATAATTTCTTTAAATGGTATCTTATCCATAATTTACTTAAAAAATTATGATGCCATAAGGTCTACAAGACCATGTAATATTCTCTTATGAAGTAAACCAACTCTTCAATGGAAGAGTGATTACCAGAAACCTGGGTACCAAGATATTTGCATGTCAACATCCTGATACTAAAAGTTTACAATTATTTAAATTTATTTACATATTCAAGAAGCTGTTTATAGCCCTATTGTTTTGCAATGGAAAATTTAGGCTTAATTATTTAGTTCCTCTTATTTGTTTCTGCTTGATAAAATACTTTGGGACTAATGACTGCACTGCAAACAAAATTATCTTTAATGATACAGACCAAATGTATCTCTATATTCACATAAGAAATTGTCACACAGATAGACATAACCTAAAAAAAAGCATTGAAGAGTCATAGTAACTATAATTGAGAAATTAGAAATATTTATGTGTGTGTTTGATATTCACAAATTCTTACCAGATAAGCTGAGATTGCTATAGTAATATCTCATTAACAGTCATTAAATTACACTGTACATATGGTTTGATGATAATCCCAATCTGGATACATGGCACACTTCTTTCATGGTAATATGAAAAGCCTTTACTAGGGTCCTAATATTAACCAGCGTCAAATGTAATGACACCAAAGTAATACAGATGGTTAAAAATTATCAATTAGATAAGTCATTATAATGGATTCTGTGCTATGCTGACCAAGTTAGAAGTTGTCTTTATAATTATAAGGAAAAGCAATGTATAGATTTCTTTTAATACTCTTCAGATATAAACACGTATTATGAAGCTAAAATAATTCAGTGAGTGTAGTATTGGCAGGGACAGGCAAATAGACCAGAAATAATCCATACATAAATATATGCTTGATATTTGACAAAAGTGATGTGGCAAAGCAGTGGGGAAAAGGTGGTCTTGGAAAATTGGGTATTCATATGAGAAAAAAAATGTAATCAGTTCCCTGCCTCAGAGAATACACAGAAAATCAATTCCGGATGGTTTAAATATATAAATACAAAAGGCAAAACTATAAAACATTTGTAAATCAATATACAATATCTTGATGACTATAGGGAGAGTAAAGATCTCTTAAAACAATTAAAAAAAAAAAAGTTTAAACCATAAAGGAAAGTTCAACTACTTCAAAATTAAGAATTCTGTTCATCAGTGCCACAGGGTAAGGGTTAAGTCAAGAAGCCCTGGTCGTGCAACATTTAAGCACTCAGCTGCTAACTGAAAGATTGGTGGTTGGAACCCACTTAGCAGCTCCACTGGAGAAAGACCTGGAAATCTGCTTCTATAAAGATTACCCTGTGGGGGTAGTTCTACTCTGTCACATTGGGTCGCAATGAGTTGGAATTAACAGCACAAAACAACAAAGGGTTAAGACAAGCTACGAACTGAGAGAAGATATTTGCAACACATACACTTGTCAAGGGATTAGTAAGAGAATATATAAAGAACTACTACAGAACAATAAGTAAAAAGATAAAAAACCAAAAACCAGTTGCCATCAAGTCAATTCTGAGTCATAGTGACCCCACGTGTGTCATAGAAGAACTGTACTCCATAGCATTTTCGATGGCTGGTTTTCTGGAAGTAGATTGCCAGGTCTTTCTTCTGAGGTGTCTCTGGGTGGACTAAGAACCGCCAACCTTTTGGTTATCAGCTGAGATCCTTAACTATTTGCACCACCCAGGTACTCCAGTAGAAAGATGAACAACAAATTTAAAAAATCAGCAAAAGACATGAACAAAAATTTTGCAAAAAAAAAAAGAAGTATAAATGACCTATAAGTATATGAAAGATATTCAGGGAAAAGTAGCCAAGAAAATACAAATTCAATTAAAAGAAATAATATTTTATACCCACCAGATTGGCAAAAATTTCAAGTCCGATAATATCGAATGTTAGAAAAGATGTGGAGCAACAGGACCTCTCACACATTGCTGGTGGGAGTGCAAATTAGTACAACAACTTTGGAAAACAATTTGGCATTTTCTAGTAAATTTGGTGTTACATATATCCTATAACTCAGCACTTCACTCGTAGAAATATACCCTACAGAAACTTATATGAATGTACCAGGAACAAGCTTAAGAATGATCAAAGAAACACTGTCATAGCAAAAACACTGTAAATAACCCAAATTTCCACATACAAGAGAATTGATAAGTAAAATGTTGTATAGTCATACAATGAAATATTATACAGCAGGAAAAATGAAGAAATACAGCCATATGTATCAACATGGATAAGTCTTACAAACATAATGCTGACCACCACCAACAACAAAAGCAAGACACAGAATACATGCAATGTGATTCCACTTATGAAAGGGTCAAAAACATGCAAGACTAAACAATTTATTATTTGCATATGTGATAATACCAAAGGGAAAAGCAAGGGAATTAAGTCATTATCTCTGGGGAGAGTTGGGGTATAAATGGATGGGAATGGAAGGAACACACAGAATGCTCCAAAGATGTGCCGATAGTATGTACTGAGGTGTTCTTTAAAAATATATATATGACTTTCATTTTTATATTGTAATTATTTTTACAAGTATTTAATATTTAATTAAAAATAGAACTACTTAGGTCTGTGTGTTTAAAGGTGTCTAAAAGATCTGAAAGGAGAATGGCGCGTCTGTATTTTGCAAAAGTCTAGAGGGATTGATAAATCAGTACTAGAATATTGATTAGCAAAGAATTGATTACACATTTAAAAAAAAAATCAGACACTAGGGTGATAAAAATACAAGAATACTTTTATTTTGTTTTGTTTTTTCCTTTGATGAAGTAGGGCCAACATTTTAGAAAACTCTTTCCCCGTTAGGAATGTAAACTATGATGGTGTTTTCTGTGAATCTTTTTTGGCTGTAGAGAAGTGGTTTTCAATCAGCTGTAATTTTTCTCCCCATTACCCCAAGGGGACATTTGGCAATGGCTAGAGATATTTTCGGTTGTCACAACTCGCTGGGGGGCATCTAGTACGCAGAGGGTAGGGATGCTGCTAAAGATTCTGCAATGCACAGGACAGTCACCCACAGCAAAGAATTATCCTGCCCAAAATGTCAAAGTGCTGCTGTTGAGAAGCCGTGATATAGAAGAAAATAACATAAGAAATATGAGAATGTTTGGATCATAGGATAGAAAGCATGACTCCAGGGACTACTAGGAGAACTAAGAAGGGAAGTGTGACATTCGAGTAAAGACAAGCAGTTAATTAAAGACTTCTTAGACTAGAAACAAGAAAAACAGCAAATACTAGATTTGCTATTTTTACAAGTCCCATTGCAGAAGTGCTGAAGAATGCACATAGTCAGGAAAGCTTCTCATAGCAAGATGATATTCAGAATAAGTTCTGTCTTAGATGGGAGAACTGGATCGTAAAGTAGTCATTGATAGCCGCTGAGCTTCATCCAAGAGTAGGGCTTTGTGTATCTTACTGTTTTCTTTCTTCAAACAGAATTTCTCATTATTAGTGTTTAAGCCTTTCTTTAACATATTCATAGAGTATGTATTTCTATTTTTATATTCAAAGATGACTAAATCAAGTGGATTTTATACATTGTACTTGTATCTTTTACTGTTACTTGAGGTGGTAAAAAGTCTGGGTTAGGGACTAAATATAATTCAAATTTTAACATTATCAATTGCAAACAGGTTAAAAAATTTTATGGACTTTCTGTTTGTTCAAGGGACAAGTATATATAGCACCACACCTTAGAAATTCAAATATGTTGAACAATGATAAACACAATACACTTTTAAAAATCTGCTGTTTTAATTTTATCTATTTAAAATCAGCTAAGCAACTCTTCTCGTCATGGATCTTCCATTAAAAGTGTTTTTGTTTGATCATATCTTAAAAGTATTCAACCATAGATATAGGGCTGAAATTTTTGTTTGATGATTTATAGGCATCCAATAAGCTTCTAAGGGAATGATTAAGAAACTCAAATGCCTGAGAAACCAAGCAGCTAACAAAAAAGGCAGGATTGCAATTAAACTGAAGACCAAAGCCCTCGCTGAGGGAAGACAGTGGTTCTCAGCTCCAGTACTTCAAGTCACTGACAAGTTTGAATACGGACCAAATAGTACCAGGTCTTCTTAATTAAACAAACAAACAAACAAAAAAAAAAAACAAATCCAGATTATTATGATATATCTCAATTTTTAAACGTTGGCAACCAATTTAAAAAAATCATTGTTTTCTCCATCAAAATAAAAAAGTTTATATGCTCTTGGGCTGGCAGTTGTTTTCCTGAAAGATACTACCGGGGAGTTCTGTTATATAAATACTACACTGTTATCCTAAGCATCTGAAATCTAAGGTGAGAACATTACTGAGAACAAACTTTTCAATTGTATTAGAAGTGGGAGATATTCCAAAGCAGTAAGAGATGACATCCATGACATTTTCAGACTGTGACTCAAAGAACGAAGATTATTCCTCCTGAATTCTCTTGATAATTGAAATGTAGATTAATTTAAATATATAATATTAATGGGGTAATCATTACCTGTTCCTTTCTTGCAGGTATAAGTGAGATGATAATTGCAGGGAACATCATTCCACTGGCCGTTCTCATGCCAGATGATGACAACACAATCTTCACCAGAAGAAAAGAAGCTGTCTGGCTGGTTGGGCCTCCAGTTCTCGTATTGCTGTAAGAATGGAGGGAGAAGATAACTACTTCATAATACAAGAGTAACATATTCTAGGAGTCCCAGAGTGGCGCAAAGAGTTAAGTACTCGTCTGGTAGTTCAAACCCACCCAGAGGCACCTTGGAAGACATGCCTAGTGATCTGATTCTGAAAGGTCACAGCTTGACAACCCTACGGAGCACAGTTCTATTCTGACACACATGGAGTTGCCATATGGGAATAAAATCAATGGCAACTAACAAGAACAAAAACCTATTTTAAGAGCAACATCAGCATTACATCACAATCATGTTAGAATGAGCTCAACAGTTTTTGTTGGGCCACCTAGCAGAAATAACTGTGGTGGTTAAGAAAGAAAAAGTTTTAAACTCTGAATGGAAAACGTATATTAGATTTTTCAGTCTCTCAACAAATGTCATTTTTTTTTCTTTTGGCAATGGGCTATACCTGAGGAATTTTGGTCTAGTTACCTTAGATTTCTAAATATATAATCAATCCTCAATTCAAGAATTCCATCATATTATTATTAATAATTATAACAACACTAATGGAAGTGGAAATAAAGAAAACAATTCATAATCTCACCACTCTAACCCATTGTGTTTTCTTCCACCTTTTACGTGTACATATCATTTTATACAGTTGTGATTATAGTGAAATAGAATTTTTATTCTTTCTCTTCTTATCTTTACTACTATCAGGTACCTTTCTTTATCTTATTTAATGTAATTATTTTTACCCAGATTTATTAATTTGGTAATAACATGGAGATACTTGCTATATAACATATAAAAACGTGTATATATATTTGTGTTTGCTTGGTATACCTATGCCCATCATTTTGTACTCAACCTTTCTGAGTTATTTTTAGATGTGATTCTTGATTGAGTTTTGCTTTATGATCTAATGTAGATCTAATGTTTTCTTTTAATAGGAACATTTATCACAAGATAGGCTTTTAGAAATATATTCTACTATAAATATATGTTTGCTTTTCTTGGTATAACAGGTGTTACTTCAGATAATTGAAAAGGATTTTATCGATTTGGTGTTTCTCTACCGTTTACCCTTATATCTGCATCTTTGGATGATATCTATCGATTCCCCACTATGAGCAATGATATATAACCTGAAAATCATTTGCCTTCAACCATAGTAATAACTAAAAAACCAAACCAAACCTGTTGCCGCCCAGTCAATTCCAACTCTTCACCACCCTATAGGACAGAGTAGAACTGCTCCACAGGGTTTCCAAGGAGCACCCGGTGGATTCGAACTTCTGACATTTTGGTTAGCAGCCCAACTCTTGACCACTACACCACCAGGGTTTCCTCATCCACTATAGGCGCTAAATAAATAATATGTGTTTTGGATGCGGGAGATTGAATTGTTGCGAGTACTGTGGAGAACAAAACACATTCAAAGCGGCACAGGCGGCAGCCATCTTTGAGAGGGGTACCGCCTGTTTCCTACTTGGGTCAAAAGCCTACACGAAAGAGATTTGGTTGCTATGCAATGCATATGCTGCCCTTGTTTCCATCACCATGACAGAACCTCTTCGAACTGGTTTGAAGCCCTGCCTTGTTTCTGTCATCCATGACCAATTTGAAGCCTTGTTTGCAACCAATAATTATACAAAAAAGACAGTCCCTATGTCTATTCCAAGTCCCTGGGTCGTACAAACAGTTAATGTGCTCGACTGCTAACCAAAAGGTTGGAGGTTTAAGTCCACTCAGGAGGCACCTCAGAAGAAAGGCCTGGTGATGTACTTCCAAAAAATCAGCCACTGAAAACCCTACAGAGCACTGTTCTACTCTGACACACATGGAGTCACCGTAAGTCAGAATCCAACTCAACAGGCAACTAGTTTTATGTCTATTCAAGAATAACAAACCTTGTTTTAGACTATAAAAAAATATTGGAGCACAAATAAGAAACTGGTTTTCTGGTCTTGGGTCTCCTGTTAACTAGAACATGACATGGGACACATCTGTTTGTTTATTGTCTTTCTGTCTCAACTTGAGTATCACTTTCCCATTCTACTTTGCTTATTGTCATGTTTTATAACATTTAGCACAGACAAGACTAGTGAAGACAAACTTCCTTAATAGAGGAGAAGTATAGATTTAGATTTATGTGACAATGGCTAATATGACTATCTTTTCTGGGCCTACAGATTCATTAACCTTTCTTTAAATTAAAGTTAACATAAGTATATGAGTTAAGACAATTGTTCTCAATTCGAAGCATGCAATAAATAAATAAAGGTCCTACTATTTATTCCCGACAGCACCATGGTTATTTTTAGGTTCTTAAAAAAATGTATCATAAATATACTAGAGATTAACTTATTATTTTTTTCTCAGAAAAAAAAAAATGTGGTTTAAAAAATTTATAAACATGGTAAAAATCTGGATCTTCGATAGAACAATTTGTAGAAAGACCTAAAGACTGGAAATCTTGGGATTAATTAACCTTCTGCTTTTCTTTCAATCTCCTTGCTTAGGTTTACTTTAATGTCCTCCTCAAACATGTCAAAATTAAGATATGGTATAAGAAATTCCTATGTAAAAACTAGAGTCTTTGTGAGGAATGATAAAATTGCAAGGAGTCAAGGAAAGCTTAATAAATCGCTTTCTTTGCCAAAACTCAGAATGAGAAGTGTTTCCATTTTTGGTTGGAAAAACTAATCCAGAAGTGAGAAGGACTTCAGTCCAACTCTGGATGGTACCAATGAGTTATCCCTTGATGGTCCTAGGAGGGATACTCAGAGGGAGATACTCACCAAAGCACTCTCTGCCTGGTACATCTCCCTAAACCAGGAATTGGCATTTGCTCTAAATATGTTTCTAATTATTTCTCTATTTTCTTTTCCTTTTCTTACTTCCTCTCCCTTGTCACCCTTCAGCCTCCAACCAGCAGAACTTTTTTTTTGGCTACTCTCCTTTAATAGATAATAGATAAGAAAATGGGGCAACAAGAGGTATAAAAGTCATATTCAGCCTGTTCCTGATGTGTAACTAAGTTGCCTTTAACAGAGAAATTTAAAGCAGAATAAAAATAAAAACAAAAGAACAGGAATTTATGAAAACCAACAAAAATCTATATTTACTACTTTCTATGGTCAAAGATTCCAGAGTTCCCAAAATACTTAACTTGGATTTGGGAGCTAAATACTTTCTAATTTGCTTTCTAACTAACCTCTTATCGTAAGCCAGTAAATGTCCTCAAAGGTGGAACATTTTCAATACCTTAATTGTATGTGCGAATACATTTAAAATGGCAATACTCTCACCTTCCTTGTTGCTACCCACACTGTCCCTCTACCTTCCTTGCTTTATTTTTCTTCATAGTGCTTATTACCTTCTAACATCATATATAATTTACTGTATTCTCCCCCCTAGTAAAATGTAAGCTCAGTGAGCACAGAGATTTTTGTTTAACTGCTGTATTCTTAGTTCCAGAAACGATGCCTGGCACATAGTAGGTGTTGTTTAATAAATAGTTTGAAATAGTTAGAAATAATAAACCACAGAGGGTATGGCATGCTTTCCCACCCACACAGACCCCTAATCAAAGATGTTACTTGCTGCGCTAGTAAATGATAGGTGATACAGGCACTTATAGACCTCACCAGAGGAAGTAAATAGCCTTTTTGGAAAACAGTTGACAATACACATCAATAACTCAAACAGTTCCTACCCTAGAGCTCAGTAATTCTACTGCTTCCAAAACTCTATCCTAAAAAATAATCAGAGATGTGAACAATGATTTACGTAAGGTAATATTTATACTAGAAGTAAATGGGAACAATAGGATAAACATATGCTAAATAAATTATGGTATAGCAGATAAATGGAATATTATGTAACCATTAAATGTTTTGTCTTTGAAGAACATATAACGAAATGGAAAATATTCAAAAGAGGAGTTAGGTTAAATTAAAATGCAAGACACTAAAAATTACAATAATCCAAATGTTAACTATACTCTCAGAAGCATCTCTGTGTGTATGTGTATATGAAAGACCAAAAGAAAATGCAGCAAAATGTCATAAAGCTTATTTCTGTTACGTGATTAGCAGCAAAATGTTATAAAATTTAGTTCTGAGTGACACGCAACTAAGAGATACTATTTTATTCTTCTATACATTCTTTCGTATTTTCCAAATTTTCAAGAGTGAACTATTTTTATCATCAGTAAAAATGAACATTATAAAATGATCAATTCAACTATCAGAAAGGACACATAGATTTCTTAGCTAACCCTTTTTTGATCTGACCTCAACACATTTCACTTCAACTGACCAAGTGAATTGATCACCATGTATTTTGCAGCTGATATTTCCTCCTGATTTGAACAGTAACCATCTCATTTCCACACTGAAATGACATTCGCATTGCATGCCACTGAAGTGATTCTCAGGGCTTAAACTGTCCAAACCCAAGACCTCTGGTAAAAGGTTTGATTGTCTTTGGTGGGAATTACATTTGGCTTGTAGCGATGATTTAAAACGTGTGTTCTGTGTTGTTGCTTGGCAGAGCTGTGGCTTTGTGGTGCAGGACCAAATTTTAGCTCTGTGGTTTTCACAAGAATGTCTGATACCCGCAGGCTTGTCACATTATTACCTCATATCTGATAGGTCCATTGTGCAGATTTATCTTGGCTGGGCAGCTTTGATTTTGCTCCATGTTATTGCCCAACTGATTTAGCAAAGGAAACTCCAGTTTTCTGAACAGCTTCCTTTGTTTCTTCCTGAATTCTTTACAGCCTTATTTAACGTTACAGGATGAAAGAGTATAAAAGAGAAACCTTTGACTTTAGATTTAATAATGTACTTTTTTCATTAAAATTAAATATTAAGAAATTCCTCCTCTGGAAATCAATTCTGAGTTAAGAGAATGTAGTTCCCCTTTCACATAGGCAGTACCTCATATGGACAGGCAATATCGATTATTGGAACAAGCAGAGAAAAACTCACCACTTCCTATCTGGACTT